TTTTAGAAAAAAAAAACACAACGAAAAACTTATGTTTTCGACACTGTTAACTAAATGTCTTGCACAAAGTCAAATAAAGTCTGCCTCTACGGGATGGCATAACTATTTGCATTTCTCATATGGTTCTCTATGTTCATTAGCTAGCGTCTGAAATTTTAGTGGCGCTTTTTCAAATTTTCTAGGCATAACTTGCATTTTTTCGTATGGTTCTCTATGTTCATTAGCTAACGCCTGAAATTTTGTTAACACTTTTTCAAATTTTCTAGGCAAAATTCGCTTCATTTTTTGGTCCAGGGATCACTGCCGAAATAGGTAAAAGTTATTCAAACTGGTGATCATAATCTACTTATTCATCTTAGTGCTAAGAATGCAATTTTCCCAGGGCTCGTCGTCTAATATCTATGTATTTGTCGGTGCAGTTGAGGGAGATAAAAATAAGTACAAGGTCAAGCTAATATCAAACACGCCCTTGTAGACATCGGACTCTTTGCTCTGCAGGAAGCTGAATCTCGAGCGATTTTTTGTGTTCAAATTGTGTACGTAGTTACTTAGAAGTATATCACTAGAAGATAAGGCGTCATAACTTTTCTATTACATACATTCTGCTCTCAAGTTTTATGTATGTTAGACCACCAAAAGTTGATGCAATGAAAAAGTTTACCATACGTAAATAATAACTCCGTAGTTTAAATAACGTAAGTTATTATGCAATAAGTAACTTGTATATGTAAGTAGGTTATATTTCATTATTAAATGGCAGCAGTAGTAATAAATATCGCCTTCAATTCATCAAACCAAAACCAATGGAAATCTTATGCATAAATACTCAAAACAGGTTTGTATATATTACCACTCCATAGATCATCACCAAGATTTGATCACAACATGTATTCCAAACCCATCATAATCAAGATTACAATCCTCTTGACAATGGTCAACATTCATGAGTCTCAGGCATTTAAGAAATCGACAATGGTCGACTCTTTAGCTTCATCACCGTCATCTTTCCACGCTGAAATCGAGCATCCTCCAATAAAGGACAATGCAAAGGTAATAACGAAGAAGATCACCGAGGAGAAAAATTTATTAGACAATAAAAATTGTGGTTATTTTACTCCGCCATTGCCTTACGTGGAACCTAAACCCGATGATGACTATGTAATACCACGAGGTTGTTATTTAGATTATCCGATAGCACAAATGCTTGATTATGCTAAAGCCCTATGTTACGAGATGCAACTTGAGACAGTATCGGCTGGAGAAGGTTGCAGATCGATTATGGCTATGGGTCTGGATTGTTTAATTGATGAATTTAGTAAGGATGTCATAGAACGGTATCATTGTGATAAAGATATGTATTCAGTTAAATATAGGGCTTTGAAACTCTGGCATATTTGTTCGCCGCAGTAGATTGATGTTGATTAAAATATGAACTAAACCAATATTCATCAAATTATTGAACTTTTAGAATGCTTAATGTCGTATTATATCTACGTCTTGATCAGGAACGGATGCAACTATGGGATGGGCTGGGCTGAAGCCCGAGGGTTTTTTTTTTTTTTACAACTATAAATTTGAAAAAAAAAATGTATTGTATTTCTAGCCCAATTCAATAAACCAACACACTAACTCATTATAATTCACTTATTGATTTAAGTCTAAAGATTATAAACATCATTCTAATAAAATATTATATATTGTTGATACACCTTTTTCACTAGGTACTAACTCACAAAACATCACTATACACCAAACTCTAATTAAATAAACTAGTCACGACTATGCCCCTCCTCTGAACACCAGAACAATGAATTTAGAGGAACAA